CGAACTCAATTGCTTTTATACCTTTTTATATAAGTACCTTTGGTGAACCTTTGTCAGATTTGTCTATTTCATGACGATAACTTCAATTCTCTATATTTATTGAATATTTTTGTAAGAGATGCTATTTCTGACTTCTTGAAAACTAAAAGCCCAAATTGCTTTGATACTTGGTTTGTACATACCTTGGATGAACCTCTATCAGATTTGTTCTTTTCATGTTGATATCATCAATTGTAATTTATGGTAAAATATTATATATTTGAATTTTTCTTGAATACTACCAACCTGATTGCTCTGATATTTGAGATGTATATTATTTCTATGAACAATTAGTTTGATGAAGTTATGTTGATATGTTCTTAACAGCCAGAACCAAACTATTATTTAGTGGGTTAACTGCATTTTGTCTTGTGGGTGTGTGTTGCTCAACTTGGCTACCACTATGTAATTGTAGGACAGAAGAGCTATTTTGACCATGAGGTCACATTTTGTCATGGTGCAACCATATATAAATATCACTTACTCATTAGGACAACAATGTAGATAAATACACAGGCATATTTACTGGTATATTTCCAGTGAAAAATAACAGTATAGTTTAGTTTTGAGCAGTTGTTTGAAAATCCTGACAAAAATATGACTGACATTGTCACCACAAAAAGTTACTCAGATGCAAGTTGACTTGGTGAGAAGTTTAAACACAATAAACTGTATGATAAATGTATGACATTAATTACCACATGATTTGCTTTGGCTCAGTAGTACATAGATTACAAACATGTGTGAATAAATGCTGAATGTGTCCATTGAATGATCGTCTATTGCATCACTTTCTTAATTCTTAATAAATGTTGTGTATTGTTTGTCAACAGTGGCAGTATTAGAAAGATCTGTCAAAGATCTTCAGAGAACAACTGTTCCTCTTGGACGCTATAAAAACTTACTTAACGAGGAAATTGATAAGTCACTTAAACGCATGAAGAAAGCTTTTGATGGAATACGTAAAGCGTAAGTATTACAATTTGTGGACATTAACTTGTGTTATCTATCCAACCATTATAACTAAGTACAATATTGTGGTTGAACAATGGAAATTTGTTGTCAATATTTAACCTGGATGTCCTCAAGTTGTCAATAGTAACCTGGTCAATAGTAAGCTGTCAGTGGTTACCTGTAATATCAACTATGTTGACAGAAAACAAAAACTCGACATGTATTTTATGGCATTCAGTCTGACAATTGATGGCTTGTATTGAGGCGATAAATACAGGTTTAATGTGTAATATTAAACCATGTTTATGACTCAAATCTCATGCTCTCTCGCGTGATATTTACATAGATCTCGCACTTTCTCGCGTGGCTCAACATCACAATCAGTTTGTTTCTGGCGCCATATTGGAAGTAGCCTGAAAGTGTTACGGAGCTTCTGCCATTCTCGTTTTATTCACCCGCCACCATCCCCATTCTCCCCCATTAGGCTGGCATTAACACCAATTCGGGGGACTGGGGACTTCGCTTATGGGATTAGCTCATATTCCCCCAAGATCATTCATATTTT